ATAGTTGATGTGTGTATACTGTATATATAATGCGTTCAGTGCTGAGAGGGTTGTACATTAAAGAGTTGAAGCGCACTCTGTTCAACAAACCACGGTACAATAACTTCACCCAAAGAATTGCTTTCTGCGTCTTAAGAAATATGTATTTGTTAAACCAGCACTGATCCCGTCTTTATACTTAATGATCATGTTCTGTCACTACAACACCTGCTTACCTCGGGTCAAAGCGTGGGGTGACGAGGGGTGTAGGTCCCATCATCAAAGAGGAATCCAGCACACTCCTGGCAGGAGTCACCATCGGCTTCCTGTTAGATCTAATCCACACAGAGACATGTTAGCAAGTCATGTACGTATAATAAAAGGAGAGAGAGAAAGTAAGAAGAAGTTCTGTTCTTACCGCCTGATGGAGCTGTTCTGCTTGCTGACAGACAGCGCTTTCGCTCTTTTTGAGGTAGTCGGAGGTTTCTTTGCTGGTCTTCCCTGTTTTAGGAACAAATAGTTAAACAGGAATGATTCACCAAATAAAAGCGTCTACTCTGAATATTTATGGTCATGTGTGTGTTTTGTTTCTCGTGCACATGCTTGAACACAAATGATCCCTTACCCTCTTGGTGGTGCTCGGGGTGTTTTCATCCTCTGAACTGGACGCACCTTTCTTCTTTGTCTCTGTGGATCAGACAGGAAGTAAACGCGATCAAACACACTCCAACATTTAACTACTTTTTCCTAACCGTAAATGTATTTCTTGATTTTTTTGTATTTGGACATGTGCAGCACCTCCTGAACCACTGTATTATTTTCAATAGTCTTAAGTAAGTTAAGAATACTTGAAAAACGACTTTGTACATACTTTGTTTGGCAGACTTCAGAAGAGCTGCGTGGTCCTCAGCTACAACACTCTCAACTATAGCAGCTTCCTCATCTCTCTGTTAATACAAACAACAGAAAGAATTAGATTATAATGAATGTTAATGAACAGAAAAATGTTTGTCTAGAAAAGCCAAAACGTTCTGAAACATTTTGAAATCCTGTAGATCACCTTTGTATTATCAACTTCTGGTGACTTGGGTTTCTCAGGCTCTACAGAGAGACGTGTAAAAATGGAATGGATGTCAGGAATGTAGAAATATTCAGCTCAAAAGAAATATATTGTAATATTTGTCAAAACAATATTTCTGGATTATGAGAGGAGTTGTGTTAACTTACTGAAATGTTCCAGCCACGATGTTTGTCTGATGGCCTTCGGGAGTTTAATCAGCGCCATGTTGTAACTGTTGTCCACATCTTTCAAAAGCTGGTTGATCTTCTCTTTCATTCGTATGACTCTGGTATTCACTGTGAAGACACAACACGTGTTGTTGATGACACAGTATTAAAGACTATTACACTACAGATCGTTTATAAAGCTGTTATAGACACTTCCACTCTAACAGTTTACATGATGATGACATGATGGTGCATCGAAGCCTGCACGATATGAGTCAAATATGTGAGGTGCTATAAGGTTATGTATTGCAATACATAAACAAAAATAAAGAGGTCATAAAAGTTATAACTCAGTTTCTGTCTGCTGTTCTTCAAGTTTTTTAGAGCTCAAAATGTTTTCTTTTATATCCACTAAATTTGCACTAATTCATTCGACAGTAGTTGATAATTATCAAGATAATCTTTAGCGTGCATGTCAGTGGTGGGAAAGCATTACAATTACACAGAGGCATCTGTACAAAAAGTAACATGCTGAGCGGGAAAGCATTGCTTGACTACATTAAAAGTTGTTTTTATTATCTATTAGAAATTCAGACTTTTGTGATGTGTTTATTCATGTTTGTCACTCCACAAACTTGCTCCATCATCTTGGTCTGAGATGCAGAGTCACCTCAAACTACAGCATTTAGTTAGTTTGGAAGATTTTAAAACCAGGATGAAGGATCATTTGCCCACTTGTATGCACACGCTTCTCTTCTTAATGCTTCTGATTTGTTGATAGATGTAATATGTGTTGTGTCTGAAACTTGCATGCTGCCGTCTTGGCCAGGACTCTCTTAAAATGTGATCTTGTATCTCAACAAGAATATTTTCCTGGTAAAATTAATTTGAAAAAATCATGTATTAAAACTGCTCACACTGCGATATCGATAAAGTAATCACACAGCCATAGTGCAAACATTACAACAGATTTAAAGAATACCAGCAGGATTATTGAAGCACATGTTGCCTTGAACACATTACCACCTGAAACAAAAATTAATCTCGGATTTAAAATCTTTTACAAAACAGATGAAATGCTCAAAGCAAACCAGAGCTGCTCCCACTTTTAAATTGTATCTTCAAACTTTATTTTAAAGTGGTTTGTAACATTTGCATTGTTGTACATGCATTTTAATGTGTCCTCATATCGTGTTCTGGGGTTTTATGTAACTGAATGTTGAACATTTTAATCTGTTTGTTTACACAAAGGCCCAACTGGAGGACACGAGTTATACAGCTATATACTCTGTATGCAGCACATCAGTTTCATGCTTTGTATTGAAATTATGTTAAATTGCATTGTCCCTATTAAAATAAATCAATTCAATTCAATTTATATGCAGAAAATATTACCAGGAAGTAAAGAAGATTGTAATACCGTTACTTAAAATATATGACACATAATAATACTAGAAAGGCCTTCTGTTATGTTTTATATCATGGTACATATCATGGTCACAATGCTTTAATAACCAACTTCAGAGGATTGATATTCAGATAAAAACATAATTGTTGGACATATGACTGTAAAACACTTAATAATTCAAAATAAGTTGTATATATATATATATATATATATATATTTGTGTAACAGTTTAAATAACACTGATAAAATGATAAATCACCTCCACAGGCCTCCATGAAAGGAAAGCCAGAAACGTACTGCCTGTGATCCGTGGTCAATGTAATATCTTTCTAAAGCAAAACTAAGAACATGTTGTCTCATAGAGGATTGCTACAGCGTAGAAGCCTATGCTAAGTTTAATTTACCTAAAAGACAAAGATCCCTCTGCGCTCAGCTACGTTCAGGAACATTGCCTTTAGCCGTAGACACCGGCAGGTTTAATTCCACTCCAGAGGAAGACCGAGTCTGTTTGTTGTGTGAGTTAAGAGAAACTGAAAACGAGATTCACTTTTTGTTTTACTGCCCGATGTACGCTGACATCAGGGAAGTTCTTTTTAAAAGAATGTCTTCAAATTATCTTGATTTCTTTTGGCTTCATGATTATGAAGATTTTTTATTTTGTCACATGCTCATACAGATGTGCAGTGAAATGTCAAGACTGTTCCGCAAGGCCGTGCAATAAACACTCAAATTACTAACACACACAAATACAGTAAAATAGAATATAATGTAAAAAATAAAAAAAATATTATTATTTGAATGTACACAATATAAAATATAGAATAATGTAAACAGTATAAAGTGTCCAGGGTGTCCAGTAAAATAGAATATAATGTAAAAAATAAAAAAAATATTATTATTTGAATGTACACAATATAAAATATAGAGTAATGTAAACAGTGTAAAGTGTCCAGTAAAATAGAATATAATGTAAAAAATAAAATAAAAATGTATTTGAATGTACAAAATATAGAATATAGAATAATGTAAACAGTGTTAAGTGTCCAGTAAAATAGAATATAATGTAAAAAATAAAATAAAAATGTATTTGAATGTACAAAATATAGAATATAGAATAATGTAAACAGTGTAAAGTGTCCAGTAAAATAGAATATAATGTAAAAAATAAAATAAAAATGTATTTGAATGTACAAAATATAGAATATAGAATAATGTAAACAGTGTTAAGTGTCCAGTAAAATAGAATATAATGTAAAAAATAAAATAAAAATGTATTTGAATGTACAAAATATAGAATATAGAATAATGTAAACAGTGTAAAGTGTCCAGTAAAATAGAATATAATGTAAAAAATAAAATAAAAATGTATTTGAATGTACAAAATATAGAATATAGAATAATGTAAACAGTGTTAAGTGTCCAGTAAAATAGAATATAATGTAAAAAATAAAATAAAAATGTATTTGAATGTACAAAATATAGAATATAGAATAATGTAAACAGTGGAAAGTGTCCAGTAAAATAGAATATAATGTAAAAAAAGACAGAACACATTGTTTAAGACTGAACTTTGACAGGAGCTGGTAACTTTGTAATGTTATGACTTTTAAATTAAATTTTGAATTCTCTGGTGTTTTATAATCCCATGAGGGTTTGGACACTTTGTGTGCATGACACTAAAATAAATTAATCAATCAATCAATCAATCAAAGATGAATTTATTTAAATAATCTCAGTGTCGTGTTTACAGGAAACCCAAATATAAACTATATTCACCCTCGCTGTCGAAGTCCTCCAGGAAAGCTTCCAGCTTGGCCGTCTTCGGGTTGTTCTTCCGCTGTCTGGTGGTTCTTTTCCTGGGAGCCATGGCTTCTTACAGAGGAGGAAAAAAGTCAATTTACCAACGTTTGATAAGACGAGACAGACCTAGTGTCAAGTAACATAATTCACCTTTAGTGTAGAAGGTGCAAAATAACTTAAAAGGAGGAAACTGCCGCCACGCAAGAAGCTGTAAATCAATTTTCTGAGGCTAGCAGGCTAAGCTAACATCACTAGCTCGCTGTTTCGCAAAATGTCACGTTTCCCTCAATAACTCCATTAAAAGTCGATTTTATCACCTCGCAGAAACGTTTTGTTATCAAACTCAAAGTAATAACTTGCACTGTGGTTATACTGGTTGTATAAACGAGTATTTACCTGATTATGTTTCCTCCTCGGTCACTCAACTTTCTCGTCCGCGACAAAAGCCGTTTTTCAAATCTCCGCGCGGGGCGGGGCCAATCCCGAAGACAGCCAATCACAGGTCGCGTTTCTGATGCGTCACGGGAAATGACATGACTGCCAATCGTAGCGACAGACGTCAGTGTTTACATCAAGATACCGGAAGTAAGTCAAAGCATCATGGTAGAAAATGTGATGAATTCAGCAGCTGGAGTTTCCGTGCTTCTTCTGGCGTTTGTGAAACATTTTTAAAAAAACAACACACGGATTTATAACATTTAAATACAAGGATCTACTCACTGCTGGCACAACTGCTTGTAATTTTAAATCATTTCAGAGCCTGAAATGTCCAAACCTGCACTACTTTCTCTTCATCAAGCTCTGAGGAAAAGCTTCCACAGTCTTGAAAGCAACCAGAGGGAATGGAGGAGCGTGTTGGCCGAGTGCAGCCCTCTCATGGAGTCTCTCGGGAACTTGGCAGAGCAGTGGAGGGCTCTCTCCAACGTGCAGATCTCCAACACGCCGCTCAGAGACTTCCCCGACCTGCAGGAGAGGCTGACATTCAAACTTCTGCAAGCCACGGATACTGTCCTCCTCAAAGTCAACGAGAAGATGTGAGTAACTGGGTTCATAGTGCAACAAAATGAAGATTGGAGATGCGATGTAATGCACACTCAAAACTACAAAAAACACAGCATTATATTATTATATTAGTCTATATGATATAACATTATATTACACTATATCGTTCATATTGCACTATATTATATTATATTATATTATATTATACTACATTATATTGTATAACTGCACTCTGCATCACTGTGGTACAACACTGCCTCTCTTCTGACTTGCTGCTGTTTATCACACCGAGTCACTTTAATCATCACTTGTCACTTTATCTTGTCACTCTCTGCACTGTCTCAACTCCCTGCATAGTTAACTCCATCATTCATTTTGTACTAGTTTTTACAAAAGCTGTTTTTATTTGTGTTTATCTTATCGATTCTGTTTAATGTGTATTTTGTATTTTGAGCTTTCTTGTCTTTGTGCTGCTGCAACGCCCGAATTTCCCCCTCTGAGGATCAGTAAAGTATTATCTTATCCTGTTTGATCTAGCTGATGTGATTGGTTCATAATCACTCATTTTATCAGCAGCAGACATGCAGCGTTGCTCAACCTGAGGGACCAGTAAAGGTAATAAAAATATTAGCCCTGGACCCAGGTGAAAAGTGACATTGTGATCAAAATGTGGCTGGTGGTATGCCAGTATGTGTTATTGATCCATGCCAATATGAAGGAATAACACTTTCTATTATTCTTTTTATTTATTTTTCTCACTTTAGATAGATAGAATCTTTATTATCATTGTATACAAGGACACAACGAAACTTTGTTAGCGGCTCCTAAACAGCAGCGTTTACAAAAACAACAAAAATATGTTTGTGGTGATATGAAAGAGAAATATGTAAAAAGTGGCCAGAGCAGTTGCTGTTCAGTGAATGAATGATAATAATAATAAATAAATAAACAGTTGTGGTGACTGAGAGAATATATACAGTTCTTATTTTGCAGTGACTGATTAATTAAACAAATATAAATATAGAGATATAGTGCAAATAAGTGAAGTTATAGTAAATACAGTTATTATTGTGCAGTGACTGAATGAGTGAATTAAATTAAGTTATTGCACAAGGTCCTTTAAGGCCCTCACAGACAATATAACACTTCAGTTTTTATACTTTCTGCCAGAATATATAGATATTTTCTAACATGTGCAACCACTAATCATGTCATGCTGATGTCATTTGCAGCTCATGAATTAAATATGTGTCATCTCTTATCTCTATTCACTGCCATGCTCTCAAAAAGCTCTCCACTGGCGTTATGATCATTTTGTTATATATCACAATCTATGTTTGGAAATTGTAATCCTTCTAATGTTCATCAGAAAACAAAATTAGTGTCTAATTGGAATTTCAATCTGTCAGAAAAAACTACTACAGCGGCATGTAAAAAATAAGTCAGTCCTTGCTTTCTAAATCACAATACCTTATGGACCTTTACAAGAGTGCAGTCAAATACTGTGAACAGCATGAAGATAGTGATCTACTGCCTAGTTCCATACTCACTTCCAATATGTTTATTTATCTGGATGCCCTGAGTCCCAGTATTTGAGTTTGGACATGGTGGACCTACAATATCTATCTAAACTATTTATCCATCCTTCTCTTGTCCCCTTAGGTCTTCACTCCAGTCAGTCAGAGACTCCGTCAGTAACCAGGTCTCTGCAGTGCTCCAGCTTTACGAGCAGAACTCAGACAGTCTGGACCTGCTCACGGTTACTGAACGCTCTGCCACCGCCCCGTCGGTCTCTGACATGCTGGGGTGGCTGCAGGATGCCGAGCGTCACTATCGACAGCAGTATCCTCTCTGTTTGCATTTGGGCTGTTTGCATTGTGGTTTGGATCTTTTTTTTGTTGTTGTTTTTGTTTCCTCAACTCCAGTTTTCAGATTTCTGAGGAGGAAGACTCTGCTGCTGACACTCAGAGCAGAAGATCTCTCCCTGTTGGAAGACGCTCCCAAAAGATGGAAATCCATGGAGTCGTCCAGTGCTGAAGACAGAATCACAAGTAAAAAGTCTGATATGATGTTTTAATCGTGAGTTAATGTTACTCAAATAATGACTATTTATGTGATACAAGGCGGACTCTTTGAACTTGGAGGAAATCATCTTTTTTTTTTTTGTGGCAGAGGAATGCTTTTAGGGTTCAGCTTTTATCATATTTTGCACAGGCAGCTGGCCACTCTTCAGATACAACCTTTTAGAATAATCATTTTAACCACAGCCTAATTTAATTCAAATTAGGAATTTCATACCGTAAAATAATGACTTTAATCTTGTAAATGTACGACTTTAATCTAAAAATGTTAGGAAAAAAAATCATTAACGTGGGCCTCATACTCCTCTGTAATAAATGGACCCAGCTCCTGCACTTTTAAGATTTTAATAAATATCAGGAAACCACCAGACACAACGTTGCGTGATGCCAATAAATTCATAAAACAGATGTTGGAGTGCAAGCTTACTAAAGAACAGCGCTCCACCAGATCTACAATGGTCTGGTTTACTACGTATATGGTGCTGAGGATCTATAGGTGGACTCATGTTTTCTCTCTTCTTTCAGATACGCTCTGCAAAGTGTCCTTTTTTGTCGAGTCCCAATGAAGTGGTGATGTAAGTGGAACTCTGAGCAGCTTTCATTGAAGAAGAAAGAGCGATAACCTCAAAGGAACGATGAAGAAACATGAACACAAAGCTCAGAGGGACAGATTTCTGTATGGATGTGAGGAGGAGGACTAGAGTCCCACTTTGTCATCAACATTTTGAGGGGTCAAAGTGTGGCAGAAGAAGAAGTCAGCATCATTTTGGTGCTCAAAGATGACACAGTGAAAATGAATGTGTTGGCACAAACCAACATGTATGATAGAGGACAGCCTCCACACACAACGACAGACTGGATCAAAAAAACTGTTATTGAGGCACACTTTAACAAACCTGTTTTATTTCACACGTTGAACGCAGACACTCAGTGAAGACTTTATGTGTCAAATCAGGAGGTAAAAATAACTGCTACAGAAATCACTGCAACCATGACAACACAAGCCATCATAACTGCCACTGTGTACTTTTTTAAAGTACATTTATGCATCAGGCTTTCTTCAGGCTCTGCTGTAAATCACAGTAAAATCATTAGAAAGAATGCATGTTAAAGACATTTGGGCATTGACTTCACTTTTGAAACCCAGAATCTATGTCCACTTCTTTATACAATCTATGAATAAAAAGTCAAGTTTCAACAAACAAAATGTTTTTAAAATACTGCAGACAAGTTTAAAAAGACAAATAAATACAAAATGAGCAAAATATAAGTTAACGTAATTTCATAAATATATATATATATTATATTTATTGGTTAAAATTCACAGACTTGAGACAGGTTATTTTTTAACAAAGAACCAGAGTTACAAAGTTGATCCGCTCCTCCTCCTATACGTACTCCTTTAAGGGTAGACTGTTGGATGTGATGGGTTTAGGCGGATCCGGCGCTGAAGGCGGGGAATTAGCAAAGCTCCGGCCTATGTAGCCCCTCCGATACCTGCCCCCTCGCTCCATGAGGGGGCAGGTGCTGCTCAGCACAGCCCCGCTGATCATGAGGATAACAGCGGACGCCCAGCCCAGATAAATGGCCTGACCCAGCTCCCGTTTGTGCATGAGGGGCACGTTGGGGTTGTAGAAATCCTTGACGACAGTGTTGGCGGTCCAGGAAACGGGAATGAGCACGCACAGGCCGGTCAGGATGAAGAGAACGCCGCCGGAGAGCGCGATGCCGGCCTTGGCTCGGCGGTCGTCCCCGGCGCAGGTGGTGCACTTCATGCCGCAGCAGGACACGGTGCAGGAGAGCCAACCCATGAAGATGGCGAGGCACATGAGGGCGCGGGCGGCCTGGATGTCCGGAGGCAGGGCCAGCATGGAGTCATACGTCTTGCACTGCATGTGACCCGTGGTCTGGTAGATGCAGTTCATCCAGATGCCCTCCCACTTGATCTCCGAGGTGAGGATGTTGCTGCCGATGAAGGCCGAGACCTTCCACTGAGGCAGAGCGGTGACGGCGATCGCCATGATCCAGCCGGTCACCGCGCAGGTGAAGCTGATCAGCTGCATGCCCGTGTTCACCATGATGTTTTCAGTGGTTCCTCTTTTTTGAAATATTCTTTGTGGTTATCCACTTCAAGTCCAAGTTCAAGTTTTTTGGTTCACTCTTGAAACCAAGAGGCGAAGTTCACTTCTTTTACACAGTCAATAAAAAAGAGTCAAGTTTCAGCTCCACTCTTTCTTTTCCTTCCAGTCAACTTTCTTCTCCTCAAACTTTTTCCTCCTCAACAGCTGTTTCTTACTCTTTTCCTTTTCAACATCTGCTTCCTCGTGTCCTCCTCAATTCCCTCCTCGTTATCCGGCTCGCTTTTTCTTTGTACACTCACCAAAGGATTACCCCTTCGCGCACTTTCTCCTCCCTTTCATTCCTGAGTTCGACTCGATGCATTATTGAGCAGCCGATAGCTGTGCAGCCACCTGTGGCAGAGCCCCGCAGGAACCCCGATCGATCCGGCTTCACCGTCCGGGCCCCCTTTGTGGATGAAATGGATCTCAGCCAGGCTTCTGTTATTTTATTTTATTTGTGTGTGAAAGAGGATTCCTTTTCTTCAGCTCTGGTTCAAACTCCAGGAGTCCAGTTTTTTTCTTTTGAGCTGCAGTGTCACCGTCCTGGTTTGGTGTAGCCTTACCTAAACGGATCAGACTAATAGAACCTGATACTTGGATTTCAGTGCCACTGGATGCTGTTGTGAGTGTATCCTCTCACAGTAGGGTTCAGATGCTTGATTACACAGAATAAAAAATCCTCTTGGTGGACGGAAATCTAACGTGTAGTCCTTGAGGAATCGTTGAATCAAACATCCTGTTCACATGAAGCACCAGTGGATATTCCAGACGCTCTTTCAGCAGGTCTTTTTCCAACAATCCAACATCAGACTTTCAGAATAAAACAAACTTTAAAACCAGTTTGTTTTTGTTAATTTTTAAAAGCAGAGATTTACAGATGAAAACAGCCAGTAGGACTCGTCATCAGACGCTGCTGCTGCTGCTGCCTGGTCAAGTGTCTCCTCTTTGACAATAAAGCGGCGCCGGGGTCCGAGCCTTGTTGAGGCCACTTCAGGCTTCACCCCCTCCCCCCCATCCCCCCCCCACAAAGAGCCTCTTCCTTTAGCAGCAACAAGGCAGTCCAAGCGGGTCGGTTTGTTTCCGATAAAGGTGTGTAAACAAATCAGGGCTGACTTCTGGGTGAAAAAAAAAGCATCTTCAATCCAACAGCAAAAGCAAACTGAACCTCAGTGGGGGGAGAAAAAAAAAACAGGAATTCAAGAGGGAGGGCAAAAGAGGGTGAGACAACAAAAGGAGGGAGGGATGGACGAGGATGGAGCGCCGTCCGTAGGTGGATCAGTTAACACAAAGACAACATTTGGGGTGGTGGGTGGGGGGGGGGGGCTCTACAATGAGGACTACACACTTTGTGGTGCTTTTCATGCCACACAGACTCACGTGTGTGTTTTTAAAGGAGCTTTCACTGAAACAAGCTTTCACTTTAACCCTTTTTTTGTCCACGATGAAAAGGGAGAAAAAGCTCACACAAAAAGGTTGCGTTTAAAGGATTTCTTTTTTCTGTTGTGAAATGCTGAAAAGCCAGGGGGTGAAATACACACGACACTGGTGTCACGTGGTCAACAGAAATGTACAAACCCTGAATTTAGCCACTTTGTGCATACTTTTAAATTTAAGCTTTATTTTTTTGTGTAATTTCAATTAAATTCCTTTTTTTTTTTTTCTTTCTTTTTTTTGCCAAATCAGAAACAGGCCTGTCCACATCAGGTCATGTTTTCAAAAGCAGCAGGGGTATTGAAAAAAGTCCCTGGGTGTAACATACGGCTCTGACAGCTCCTCTTTGTCCTCTTACTCTGATATTTCCCCCTTCCAGCTGAGACCGCTCTCGCTCTCGCTCCCATCTGCATCACACTGAACCTTGGCTTGCCGTAGCGCCCGATGAATTAAATATCACGGCATCAAGATCTGCGGGTTCGGGTTTCCCTTTCTTCTGTCGCCTCTGCTCGCCTTGGTTACGGTGGCCATGACAACCAGCCGGGCCATGCAGGACACAGGAAACAGGAGAGGAGAGAGGAGAGGGGATGACACACACAAAGGGAAGCAGAGGAAGGTGACACATACCAATGATGGCTCCAATCCAGAGTGAGCGAGGAGCAGACAGATGTGGGCGTTTGACTGAAGCGGACACGGCTATAAAAGACATTCAGATGAATATAGATTGGTGTAAAGTGACGTTTAAATTAGTTTAATGCTTTGGTGGAATTCACACCGTTAACCGTACCTCGCTTTTAAAGACATGTTGCAAAAAAAATGTGAATTTCCCAATTGATCCAGACTCGCTGACTGCGTGACCTCTTTGACCCCCATGAGAGGAGAGAGCCACCGCCAACACAACAGCCAGGACGTTGTGTCCAAAGTTTCCATTAGTGGCAAAAGTTAAAGCAGAACCTTCATATTCTGAATATGATAATAATTGGATTTAAAAGGTTTAGAAACAAAAGTACCGATATGTATAAATCCAGATAAAATACCTCACAACATTTTGTTTATGTCATCACCAACAAAGATCATTTTCATTCCTTATGAAACTGATGACAATAAAGGGCTCTTTAAAAAAAAAAAATTTTTTACATATCTCTGATCTGCTGTTTTTTTTTCTGTAAAAATTATTGTAAGGTTCATAAGTGATACTTCAGCCTATAGCAGCCACATATAGGTGGACTAGAGGTCATTAATATAATTAAAGGCAGGGTTGGTAATTTTCTCCAGATACACTTTTTAAGATTTTGGTTGAAGTTGTCTTTAGGTCCTGACAGAAATGAATAACTCCTGTGCTCTGAAAAAGGAACAAAGTAAATCAGTCTTCTCTTTTGTGTATTTAAAGGTTTCCATGGACTTTGTCTCCAGACCAATAAAACCATGAGAACATTTAGTATCACAGCTACAACTCAGCGTAGATCATGGACCAGCATGGATGGTGACAAATCGATAAACAAAACTTAAAAGTCCAAGCAGCTACACGTCACATCCTGGAGTGTTTTAAAAACTTTAGAGTGGAACTAGTTTAAGAAAGGATCCACTGAGCTTAAAGTCTGAATACTGTCTCAGGCTGACATGCTGGTTAAGTTTGACATTGGATCATCTAAACTGCTCTCCTGTGTGACTCCATGTACACTGGTTAACATGGTCAGGTAAGAAGATGAAGTATCCATAAGGCGCTCTGATCACAGCATAAAACTTATCAGACTGTAAGTGTGAATGTTGAGAATTTCAAATCCTTTCAGACGTTCAGATGACTGATGTAAGATGAGGACAAACATCATTAGTGTTGTCAATATTAATGTGATCCCATTTACCTTGGCAAAGAATGCCATCTAGTGACACAACAGACACAGGGGCCTCGTGTTAATTGGTACACATGGACACAAACTTAAAGCTCCTGTGAGTGGGTTTTAGCTGCTTATCAAACAGACTTTAAATAACAAGGATGTCTCTGTATGAGCTACAAAAGCAGACGAGTTATTTTAAAGCCTGTCAACACAGGGTGTGTGTCAAGATGAGGCAATTCATAATATGCTGCCCAAACAGCCTTCTTTCATTTTTCCACACCAAGTATTCATTTTGAGTTGCATGTTACATGTTAGTCCACAGGGGGGCGCCAAACTCAACACAACCCAACAGTTCCTTTAACAGGGCATGAAGACAAAACACACCAGCTTTATAATGGGCATAAAATACCATTTTTATTACTTTGCACATTAACACAAGAATTCCCTGCAGGCTAAAAAAAAAAAAAAAAAAAAAATAAGTATTTGAATTTGTCACATAATAGCAATAACAGCAATTGAATGGCCCTCTGCTGGGGGGCGGAGCTAGAACATAACCCTGCCCTCTCACGACTGGTTAGAAAGGGTTCCGTTCATTTTCACAGAGTGGGAAAAGGTTCCAACTCTGATTCTATTGCTATCAGACGATCACACACACAGCTTCAGAGACCACTAGCAGAAACAAAAAGAAACAGAGCAGAGCTATAACAACCCCCCCACCCCCCTCCCCCTGAAAACAAGAACTGAAAAAAAGGAAAATAAAATACACAATACACATGTCAAATTACAAATCGGTTAAGATATAACAATATATCAAAGTGAGAGGAATTGAAAAATAATTCATGCTCTCTTTCTATTGGGGCACAGAAAGAAATATGGATCTTTTTTTTTTCTTTTAAAAAAGGTTAAAAAGAGGTAATCCTGCTCCGCTTTATGCTGAGGACCCCGGCACAAAGAGGAAGTGCATTTGTGAGGGGTCAGCAGAGTTGCCATGGAGACAGGAGAGCCCCCTGCCAGGAGGTGTGTGGCCACAGTTACAAACCAGGAGCGAGGAGACTTAAGTGGATGCTCCCTTCAGTAACCTGGGGAAGGAGGGAAGGGGGTCGGGTCTTTAACGAGGGTCCGTGTTTGAAGAAAGTACCTCGTTTGAATCTGAACACGACGCAAAGATCCGACTCCCTCCCCTCGCAGAACAAAACCAAATCAGTGTACCTCCCAAAATTACTGACTTTTGTGTAGGAATCTTTAAAATGAGTCTTGGAGAGACTGAACAGATATTGCTAGCCTAAAACAGTCCCACTAAATTCATAAACATTTACCCCCGAAAAAAAAAAAAAAAAAAAAAAAAAAGCGTTTATATTTTTTCTCTCATAATAAATATGATTCAAAAAGTGTTTTTTTTTCTTGTTTTTTTGTTTTTTTTCCAAAAAGGACAATACTCTGGCATGCAGGCGAGCAAAGTCTACATTTTGTTACTTGAAAGAAAAATTGTCTACAGCCTACATAACTATTCCACCAAATGCACATTCCCACTGATTGATACAAGCAAATAAAAGGAACTAAAAAGTTACAAAAATAAAAAAAGTACAGAGACACGATAGTAAGAGTAGACCAACAACCACAATGAGTAGAATTATAGCTTTGTTTTTCCACATTTGAAAATTACAACTGGGTCAATATTGCTTTGCCATGTTACAAACAGGGAGTGATCGTTTATCAGACTGGAGTTTAAGGATCCAATATAGTAAAAGGTTTAAAAAAACAAATCAGTCCCCGTTTAGAGATGCCAGATGAATGTTCAATTACAGCTGACTTGGCTTGTTCAAACTAGTGCATGTTTTTAAAATCCGATCCGCCCTTTTTTTTTTTTTAAAAAACACAATCTTATTGCATGCAATGCCTGGACAACACCCCCTTCAATCCGCCCCACCCCCCCTTCCCCAACCAGCCCTCCATGTTTCCTGCCAACGCCATCGCCAACGCCCACGCCTCCAACAGGCGGGTGCTCAAACTCATTCATAGTAAACCTGCTGCTTTACGGGTGGTTTATTACAAAAGCGTTTTCACTGAGCTGTCCCCCCCTGATGAGGCGTGCACGTCGACCTCTCCTCCAAACCCTCCCGTCCCGTCTCGACCCGACCCATCCTGCGTTTTTACCGATCGCAACACCAGGGGGCGCTACGCCTGCCAGCTGTCGCCGTAACAGGCTGCTGAGTGTTTGCACAGGGGGTCCAAGGGCAGTGCTTATGCTTATTTTTCAATTCCTTTAATCCAGTGTTAAAAATGCATATAAATGTGAAACAAACACGGTCAAATAGCTTTCAGAGACTTTAAGATGGGTATACCTCAAATACACACAGAGTAATAGAAACCGTTTTTTTTTTGTTAAAAAGTCTAAAAATTCAACTCATTGCCAATCGCAAAACCGCTTTAAACAAATCCATTAAATCTAGGTTCAGTCTGATTTCGATCCCTGATTGTCTCCATCTATCGGATCTTCCTCCAGCCGACGCCAGCTGAGCGATGATCGCAGCGGCAGATCTCGAGTGCTACACTATGACCTTCAACCTGCTGCTAGATTTAACTCACATCCCAACGAGAAAGCATGAATTCCTCCGTCCTGGGGCCTAACTTCTCCTCCTCCTTCTCACCATGAACCCAAATGCTACAAAATGAAATGCTCCAAACCCAAAGCTCTACCCCCTTTAACCTGCAGCTCGACAACTGAAGTCTATTCCTGAATCGCACTAGTAACTATAGAACTGGCTTCGCTGGCCAACCGTAAAATTTCATCACAATAGTAACAACATTGACAACAACGAGAACAACAACATCAATGGTAAACTACTAATCCTAAACAACAGCTCTTTTTTTTTTTTTTAAGATAACCACAAAACATCTTATATTAAACTTTTACAAATCTGCTTTGTTGATTCGTATGTATAAATGCATAAAGGTAAGAGAGATTGAGAGTGCCCTCTGTTGCTTGCCTAGCGTCCCGGGTCAGTGCAATGAATTGGCCAGTTAGCAAAGGAGACCTCCAAAAAAAAAAAACACAAAAAAAAAACTACATTGGTTTCCGGCCCTTGAAACTACTTTTTAAAAAGAAAAAAAAAAATCAACAAATTAAAGCAACGTCCAGCAGTTTCATCATAAAATCTTTCAGATAATCAGGTCCAAAGAAAATTAAAGATCCTGCTTTTTCACACACAGAAAGAATGGCTGATAAGACCGTACTCCGTGTTGCTATGCCTTCAGAACAGGTCCCAATGCTGAGCCAGTCACCGGCCCGACCGCGGTTACTACTGCTACACATCAGACCTGAACTCACTTAATACTTGAAATGGATTCAATTACTTTGATTTGATGAGATTTTTTTGTTTTTCCATGTTTCAGGCACAAAAGGAGTGCAAATCCCTTCCTTGTAGCATTAGCATCACGCTAACACACGTGTAATTCAAAGCACTTCAATTAATAAGTGATTCAGGACTGCTACAAATACCCACACCAGCCTCTGGGAGGCCTGTTTTTAAGTCATATGTCTCAAAGTTGCTCTATAGATGTAAATATATGCTTATATGTACTGTATGTGTGAATATAAAAACAACAAATCTGAGGCATTTACAGCAGTTATCTCCTTGATTTCCCTTTACAATTCAGTGGCCTGCCATGAAACACACGTGCGCACACGAACACACTCTCATACAGCAGAACATGTATATACAGAGACACACACACATTCACACACTCACATAAAGACTTGGGTGTTCTTCGCTAAGATGGGAGGAAAGTAGTAATGGGCATGACACCCAGGTCACCTCGCTTGTAAAAGACGGTAAAAGGAGAAAAGGTTAAAACACACGCTCATAAAAAGGAAAATATATATATATATGTATATATATATCATTCTCAAAAGGTCGACTCCCCCTCCATCTCTTTCCTGTAGAGTTCCCTCCCCGCCACCCAATAAACCCAAGACCTTGTGACAGATTTTGCCCAAAAGGGCGTTGAGGTAAAAGTAGAGAAGAGTCCTGCTTAGCTGGGAGAGCTAAAGAGCTGCGCTGACACAAGTTGTGCCAATCCACTCCCTTGCTCAGTGTATATTACAAACACAAGAGTGCAGACATTCAAATAGAAAAAAAAAAAAAAAAAACTCAAAATAATGGCTCAACTTGTAGTATGTGTGTGTGTGTGTATGGTTTTGTTTTTGTTTCTTCTTTTTTGTGCATTGGAAACCTCTCAGGGCTCGCAGTGCTGGATTGCTGGTTTGAGAGGCGGCTCTGTTTTGGGAACGCTGGTTGGAGATTGTTCCTGGAAAACAAACAAAACAAAAAAAAAAAACCTGCCGGACGTAGAAGACGCAGCAGATTTCCCCCCGTCCAAAGAGCCGCTTTGGTGCAGATTCAGAAAATGTAGAATGAGTGATGAAGAGAAAAGGAACAGGCTACAAAAAGAGAGAGAGAGGTGGGAGAAGAAGATGAAGATGAAGAGAGAGAGAGAGAGAGAAAATGGCAAATAAGAGATAAACAGACAGAGAGAAAAGGGAATCCGCGGGTGGACTGGCTGACGTGCTCGCTAGCTCAGGCGAAGTACATGGTGTGCTGAGTATCATAGTGGATCTGAACTGCCTTTGCCAGCGCCTGAGGGTCCCGGCCGTTGCTTTGGCCCGACACGTGGCTGCCTTCAGCGCTGCAAGAAGAGAGAGAGAGAGAGAGAGAGGAGGGTTTACTTTGAGAGGTCATGGAGGGTGAAGGGAGGAAACTAAAACGAGCCGCTAGCTTCACGCCTCTGGAAACACACGGGCCTCTGTTGACCTGTAGTCAGTCCTGATAGCTTTCACTGCTGTCTCCAACATATTTCAATTATTACCGTTGAAGAGGAGGAGTTTTAAAAACCTCATAAAATGCCAAACCCACTGTCACGTCCCTGGTTTGATTCTAGCCAGAGACTCTTAAACTGTACAGTGTTCCTCTCCTATCAATGCGTTTAAATACAGAGTTTAAGATACAAGTCGAACTGCACACATCCAGAATCATCCCCACCTGTCGTGGTCTTTGTCGACCAGGTGATAGCGGGCTCTGAAAGCCACCAGCCGGGCGTAGTAGGCCGGTGCTGGGATGGAGACGGAGCGCGTGCAGCGGACGTAGGTGTGGCACAGCTGGTAGGTGAGGAGCTGCAGTTCATCGGCAGTGAAACAGTTGTCATCCCACAGGACGTGGTAGTGGGAGGGACGACTGGTTCCCTGAAGGAATAAAAAACAAAAACATGATGTTATATGTCAGCATTTGATAAAGTGCAGTTACCGTGGTGACATTAATGTGATTTACTGATTTCAGATTAACACACAAGCTGAAAAACGTTTAGTTTTCAAGTCTTGCAAATGTGTGACATTTTTGTCTGATGGTTTGTATACTTCATAGTCCCTGATTAAACACATTGGCTGGACTGGATCAAAGAAGTGGATGAAGCCTCCAGGTCTGAAAAGTGAAGCTGATGCAGAAGGGCCTTACACCTGCATTCTATCCAGCGGCCAACAGGGGGCAACTTCACTGGCTGGAAAAAGGAGTTTTTATTTTATTTTTAAATGGCCTTACCTTCAAGCTTTCTGGAACACTGCATGATGTTCATAGATTCATTTATGGTCTCACTTAAGAGTGAAACAGTCAGTAAAGCAGTGCATGTGTGTGGCTGCCTTGTGACTGACAAGTTGTTTCCACGGCAACCACAGCAAAGCTTTGCACCCTCATTTCCAAATATGGCCACACGCAGCTCCAAAAACGAAGTCAAGGCCTCCAAATTAAAGTCCTCAAAGTAACGAGGGATACCACTGAAGCTTCATCGCGTCCTATCTAAAATCTATGGGACTGACTTGATGAACCAGCCTTTCATTTTCATTTAAAACATTTTCTATTTGGACACAGGGATTCGTTCAAGTGCAGCCTCAAACCCCTGCAGTGCGTGAGCTAAGATAAGAGGCGGTTACTGCAATGTGAACAAACCACTGCAAGCCATTTTTAAATAACAGCCAATCCAGTGGGTCCAAGAAGTATCTGAGTGATGCTGTTACTGTCATAAAGCATCATCAGCAGTAACCTCAGGACAAAATTGTAAAGAATCTGGTGAAATAATGGATTGAAATAACCTCTACTTTGTGTGAAAATGTGCCAAATCCATTCTCTAAATACAAAAAAGGCGTGGAGAACTGAAGTGACCTCAGCATTAAGGAGGGTCCCCTTACATCTATTAAAGAGCTGAAACACTTACTCTGTTACATAGCATCTGTTAAACATTTAATTGTGTATCCCTTACCTGAATCCCAGCATGGCTGCACAGGTAGAAATCAAACTCGGACGGGTGTGTGATGGTGCTGTCCACCGTGGTGCCAGCTGGAACATTACCGCTCTTCCCAACCTGCAGGATTTGATCAACGAGATAACCGTTTTTAGAGCCACGCAGTGAAGCGTTTCAGCATTAAAAAAAGAAAAACACCTGTTGATTTCCAGACACCATAGCGGTGTGAACTCTCACTGACCCGCTCGGCTTTGTCGGAGCAGAAGAGACGGGTGTGGTGACGTTTCTGAACCACGATGTAAGTAATGCCCGGCCTGTAATCCTCCTCCAGGCTGATACAGGCCTTCCTGATGGCTATCAGCTCCGGCCACGCTACCTGGAAACACACACAAGAAAGAGACACACACACTTAAAACAGCTCCTTTACAACATTTATTTTCTATTTTCAAAGCTGCCTTTCATACTTGTTGGATCACTCTTGGGATTTGCACACCGAGATGACAAATACACGGCACAAATCAGCTTCTACAGATAACAAGAGGTCAACTAGTAAAGCCTCTCACCTGCTTCATTTGTCCCTCTGACACTCCCCCACGATAGTAGATGATCCGCGTGGGCTTGAAGCGCGTCGACTTGTAGAACTGGATGAGAAGCTCCCGCACCATGTTGGTCAAATCTTGGATCACCTCCTGGCTGAAGAGCTGCTCCTAAAAGAGATAAAAACAACGACAACTGATTTAGACTCAAGAAGGGGGAAGATTTTGAATAAAAAAGGGGAAGAAAACTTTTTTTCTATACAACTACGAGCACTAAAAATTGCTAGTACAATTTCTGGTATTTCATACAAATATTGCAGGACTGATAACTTTCACACATTAACAGTATATCAACAATATTTAAAAGTAAGTTAAGTTTGCCATTACCTGGGGGGTTGGTGTTACCTGGGACAAATCTTGTCTGGACGTCTGGACTCGAACCGTGGCGCAGTAGCGGCTCGGGTGGCCGTCCATGCTGCCGACTACCGCTGCGATGGACGGCTTTTTCCCATCACCCGCTGGAGGATGGGTGACATCTGCACCCAGGAAGATGACCGGCTGCTGGAACACAGAGGGCCTGAACCCAGAACAGGATGCACAAAAAAAAAAAAAACAGGAAATTTATACTCAGATCCAAATATCATGACACAAAGGATATAAAGATTCACAGGATTAAAGCACCAGACGGATGATTTTCCAGGAACAGCTTCATTTATATGTAAATTATGCAGATCACTACAGCGACTTGGACTGCTCCTGACCACATGATTAAGCATTTTAACGACAAGCAAGCATTCCAGACTCTGGACTGAAACTTAAGACAGTAACTAAATCAGTTCTGACCTCTGATGAGGCACCAGGACGTTGTTGATTCCTCCCAGCTTGGCGTTGATCTTGAGGCACAGGTTGGAGAGGGTCTGCGGGGATGTCTTCACTACGTTCTTCACCTGCACACACTGGGTCGCCATGCCGAGCAGAGTGTCGCCCACGCGCTTCACTTCAGCTGGAGACCGGAAATTAAAATGAACATCAATGCCGACCTCTCGTATCTCATGAGGAGAAATAACCTCTACCCTGAGCAATAAAGCATTGTAATGAATTTCACTTTCTCACCATAGACGGGTGTTTTTCCAGGCAGGATGACCACGATCAGCTGCAGGCCCACGTAAGACATCTTCAGGTGTTTGAACATGGGCTCCACGCTGTCAGCTCCTTGGGCGTATTTACAGAAACATGGCTGGCCCTGAATGGGCATCCCAGCATCCTTGGAGATCTTTCGCAGCTGGTCGGTGAAGCTCCTTTTTTGAAATGCATGAAAAGCAAAGTCAGAAATCAGCAGGACAAGACAACATCCAACTAATACTGAGGCATCCCAAGGTGTGCAAAGCATCTCTGTGGAGTGGGTTGTTTGCATGCTAACATTTGCTGGTTCTGCAATGATTTGGTCAGGAAACAGGACTGAACCTGTTAAAATGAATATGGTCAGACCAGAGGGTTAATTAAAAAAATGAAGGGCAGTGAACAAAAAAAAAAGCTAATTTCGCCTTTAAGAGGACAAAAGTGGATACAGGCAGAAAGAGCAGAGCAATAGGGATGTGTTTGTTATGCAAAATGAGGCTGTGATCTTTTTGATTCTAAATGATGATCATACCTTGTGTTTCAATCAACTAATTCTGAGTATCTAGTACCTAACCTATGGACATTCAGTGGGTTCATTTCTCTCAGAAACGGAGGGTATCGGGAAGGGACGATGACAACAATACTGTGTTTGTCAGAACAACTAAAATAGCCCCGAGCATGCTGTAATCTCATGTTTTAATTGAGCTGCAGGTATTGTCTTAACATTTCAGCCTTGGTTTCATATCTTGGTGCTGATTATTTCCCTCTTAGTTGAGTTAGTTGATATTGGCACTCAAAGATTGGCACTAAAAATGTCAACCTCATGTTGGTGCTGGAGGAAAAGAATCAGGGGATCCCCAAAGCATCATGATAAATTATTTTAAACACGGCCGCACTCTTTAAAGAACTTCATGTCCTGAGAGACGTCCTGATAGCGTGGCCTTAAAGAAAACAACATGTGTATAACCTCCTTTAGCCTCTGCCTTGCTCGGCCCCCTTTACCCTGGTCATTTGAACGAGCGTTTCTGGGACAAGCCTCACAGACAAAAACAATGGATGCCGTGACTCACTTGAGCAGGTCCTCCCTGCACTGTTTCTGCGGAGCGAAGCAGGCCACGGCCCAGACCTTGATCTCGATGCCGGCGTAGAACTGCTTCCCTCTCATGTCCCACACGCCCTGGTTGGGCGTGGCCACGGTCTTATTCTGCGGAGAGAGTCCCTAACCTCTTAGTCAACCTTTCGGTTCAATGAGCCGACACAAAAGATACAACACCCCAACACACATTTGGATTTTTATACCTCAAGCAGCGTTTTCTTTACGCACTATAAGGCTTCAAACTTCTACATTCACATGATGATCTGTGCAGCAACATATACTGTGCATCAATTATAAAACCTGCTCAAGTAATGCAACTTCAGCATTGTGGGACGTATCTAGAGGAGACAAGCGCTCTGTTTTCATGCTGCGTTTACAGCCTCCTGTATCAGGAGATCAACAGAGCGGTTCATCTACTCACAGGCGCATCATTAGGCGAGTGCTCCTACACTCAGTGTGGTTGTGAATACTGATTCAAAAAGGGCCGTGGCTTTCAATTAAGTTAACAAGATTTTCCAAATGCCATTAAGAGCCTTTATTCTTCTACACAAGAGCACACAATGAACTGCTTCAGAGCGGCATGCGAAGCAAAGTAAGAGCCTCACCGTCTCATTAAGATTGTCATCCAATTAATCAAATTTATAGAATTTGAAAACATTATTAAAAGTGCATTCATTTAAAAACATAATCAGTGCATATCACTCAAAACACACAGCTGGTTCCCATCTCATGCTGGATGTACATTTTTTTAATACTATGATGCAACTGCATGAACGTAAACAACATTAAAATGAACAACGTGTGCATTTCATTCATGCTGAACGATCACAGAGAGAGCTTTGAGTCTACATTTAAGGGCATTTCACTGGAAGCCGATTAGACTCAATATCCCAGCAGGCAAGTGGTAAAGCCTTTCAGAGAGAGCGGGAGTGCTGCAATAGCATCTTGTGTAAATTAGCAGACGTATACTTCAGAAAGCCAATGTGGGATTTGAGCCTTGTTCTGGGCACAAAAGTGCTTTTTTTTTTTTTTTTTTTGAGGCAACAATCTGCTCTGAAATAAAGCTGGCAGCAAACTCTGAAACAATTTCCCCCACAGGGATTATTAAAGTTTCATCTGATCATAGCAGAGTCATTGAACGCTGCTTCTGAATGGTGTGTTGTATTCCAGCACCTTTAGTTTCTATATTAACCTTTTTAATGTCAGATGAGGGATTAAGTCACAGTCACTCCCCCCAGGCTTTTAAAGAGACTCTTTTAAGGTTTTACTTTAATGCTGGGTTTCATCTTTCTCCTGTTGGCAGCACATCTATACACACACAACCCTGGAATCCCAAATCAGCCTCTTACACCGGACATGCGAGCACAACTTTCTCCTCTGTGTGCAAGCTTGATGCAAATAGTTACCTTCCAGATCTTTACTACTCTGCACGCACCGACAAATGACATCTCTATAAACGGCTGATTTGAGATTCATAGGGTGAGTCTCTGCAGTCTGCAAATGTTTGCCTCTGCTTGCTCATTTCCTCCTCTGACACAGCCACAACGTCGTAGGGTGTGAGTGAAGAGAACAAGTGTTTAAAAAGATGCAGACGGCAGAGACCCACCTCACGGTTGTCACAGAGGGGAAGATCCAGGTCTCACAGGTCAATAGAAAAGGTAATTATGGTCAACCATTCATGTTGTCACAACTTCAGAATCAGGTTTTATTGCCAAGTACACTTAGATTTTTTTTTTTTTACTTAAATAATAGAAGCAGTAAACTTTGTAGGACTCACTACAGGACAAATCCATCTACAGCTCAGACTGGCACAATCTGAGGTGTTGGTGATTCTGTAGACATGTTTGTTTCTTTATTTTTCTACTAATAATATCCTCAATTCAATAAATGATATGAAAAACATTTTTTTACTCAACAAAAAGAGAGACTCTTCTGGATAATGTCACAAACCTACAGGCTTAAAATATAGACACAATTTTTGTCTTTTTTTGGGTAAAACCTGGATGTCCCCTCATTGTCCTCGCATTCCCTCTGTGATGCTACCCGACCCCTGTGTGTTCCCAAACATGCATGCATGCATCCCCAGAGTGCGGCCCCCCTTTCCCACTACTCACCCTGCCACAGTCCCGCCCTGTGTCTGTGCTCACGCGGCCCCCGTACTGAAGCATGGGCGCTGGGAGCACACGACCCGTCACCTCGGTCATGTCATTGTGCACGACGATGCCAAACTCTTTCAGGTAAGGGTCCGGACCCCCGACCATGCTGTTACTTTTCACCTGGGAAAGAAAAAGCAAAAGAAAGGGGGGAAGGAGTCAAATAAAGAAAATGACAAGAAAGAACACAAGAAAGTTGATTTTTTTCTTTTTCTAATTCATTATTTAGGGAAAACTGAGTACATAGAAGCTGCACAAGCGAAAACTAACACAAGGAGAGCTGGTTCAGTTGCTTTTCTTACTCCCACCCCAAGAGGGAAACAGCACTCACCAGTCTGCTGATTTCTTCCTGTCTGTCGGGGGCGGAGCGAGCTGTAGCTTTGATCATGGTGGATGTCTGGTTGTCCGTCAGCTTCTTGATACAGCGCTGGCCTGCGACTATGTTACAGACCTACAGAAGGACACAAGGTGTTATATATATTTTTTTAAATGTATCACACAGAAGAAAAACACAAAGAAATTCAAGGTTGTTTTTGCCTAAAGGTTGCCTTAACCTAAAATAAAGAAATGTTATTTATTCATCAACAGTCTCTTCCTCACCTCCAGGGGAAGGTAGGTGTGCTTCTGTTCCTGCCCTACTTGCAGGCACGGTAAATGTGGATACTTGAGCTGCAGATTGTACTTCTGCTTGAAATACTGAGCAACTGTGCACTCCATGGCTTGGCCGTTCTCTAGCTGTAAGGGGAACCTGTGAACAAATGGAAAATGTGGGCGAAGCAGGCATACGGTCCACACAGGGAAATAAAACAAAAAGGGAAAACATGACTAGAGCTGCATTAACTGGATGTTTACAAGGTTTTGCACGCTTTTGGCTTTCTTTTTTGGAGCATTACACAACACATGCAAGGTGGCCTTCGTTGACATATAAGGGGAATAAACGTGAAGGAATTTTTTTACTCACGTTTGGTGGCTGGCAGGTCGGCGCGTTACGTTGCACACACGGTACTTCCTCTTCATTTGACCACAGTGTGTGACCTCAACTTTCAAGCCTGTTAAAAAAGAAAAAAGAAAAAGAAAGTTGCAAAATCATGCAAGACGTGGCGCCATTTCCACCAACAGATAGACATTTCATTGATCCTGAGGGAGAAAAACACCTGCATATTCAAATATTCTGACATCTATAAATTAAGTGAGTTGGAATTTTGACTCTTAGTTTCTCTTCTGTTGTTTTCAGGCCAAGATAAAGATAAACGCTGACAAGGCTGCCAATTGTTCCAAGTGTTTTTGCACTCTGAAGTTGTGAATATGTCACAGCTTGTTTAAAAAAAAAAAAAAAGACTCCAAAGGGAGAAAACGCAAAGCTCACAAGTATCTCTTGACTTAAATATGCAATAGAAATTCTGGTTCAAAGTGAGCATTCAAAATCTGTAAAGAGCCACCAGCGCCTGCAAGGTGTTTTTAAAGTGTTACTTTGTAGTGACGGAAGTGAGGACAAATAGACTGAAGAAGCTCTTAGGCAGTATTTTATAGCATTAAAAAAAAAAAAAACAACTGTATTTGAATAAAGCATGGTTCTAACAATGAAAAGCATTATGCATTATATATTATAATGCTTAATAGTCGACAGCAAGGACAAAATCTTCAGTTAGCCTGAGGTTAAGGATGAGTGTTCAGCGTGTGTGTAGATAAAGCTGAGTGTGCAGAGGGCATATACAGCATCAGTTTGTTTTAAGAGTGGGTGTAGATTCTTCAGTTCTTACACACTGCTTCAAAACAAACATGCATGTGCTCTGTCTGCAGGCCCACACGTTCATCTCATCGCCGTGGTGAAGCAGGTACAGCGGTGAGTCACAGAAGTTGTGTATACGCTGTGTGCATGTTTGTTAATCTCAGCTGTTCAAGATTTCTGATGTATACTTGAGAGTCTGCTGGTGCTGGAGCACTCACCTCTTATTTCCTTTGTGAATTTGACACGCTGCGAGTCGGTCAGTGGTTTGGTCTGTTCGTTGATGTTCTGTATATCCAGCACCTCGCACATGAACTCGATCACAGGCTGAGCACGGTAGAAGGCTGTGGCTGACACTGAGGGGTGAGAATACACATTCAAAATCATTTGCAGTGCAATCCCATGAATCAGCAAATATAAGAAAGCCATATATGACTGGATCACTGGCAGCCTCTCTATCCAAACTGTGTGATACAGCGGTGACCAAGTGACCCCCAAATTTCACAATAAAAGGTGGAGATGCCTTCAAACCTTTTCAAAATATTCACATGCTTCTTGGTGAGCTTTCTCCTGACGTTATGACGATCTCCACACATTAATTTGATCCTTTAACCACTTGTTTCTATTTCTTTTTACTGCTCTTACCTTCTTATTGCTGTTATCTTTTGATTTGCTTTTAGCTCTTTTAGTTTCTTACATCTTTTTAAATCTTTGCTCCTCTTGGTCTCAGCTCGTGTTGTTGGGTTCTTGTGTTTCCTGATGGTTCTTATGATGGTTCTTGTTTTGCCTGATGGTTCTTGTTTTGCCTGATGGTTCTTGTGATGGTTCTTATGATGGTTCTTGTTTGCCTGATGGTTCTTGTTTTGCCTGATGGTTCTTGTGATGGTTCTTGTGATGGTTCTTATGATGGTCGGGTTATATATGTCTGTTGGGTATCGTGCACTTTGGGTTCTTTTCTGTTGAATTGTATTAATTATTTGTAGTATTTTGCATTTGTTATGTTCTTGCTGTTGGGGTTAGTTTGGTTTAGTTTGTTCTTGTTTTTGCTGTTTGTCAAAGCACTTTGTAAACCTATGTTTTTAAAAAAGGTGCTATATAAATAAAGTTATTATTATTATTATTAAATTGTCCTTATCTTTCTCCTACGCCTTTTTGCCTTTGGCACATTCTGCATTAAGGTGCCTGTTCACTAGCTTGCACAGCTGTTATCATCTGGGGCTAGAGACTGACAGAAAGGTCAACTTGGATTACATTGTATTGTTGTTGTATTCACATACTAACCAGTTAAACAAGCATATTATGTTTTAGCAATTGTGTTCCAAGTCTTAAGCTTGTTCACACACGTTCCTCACAGTGAGAGACAATCCCTGTCGGACGGGAGGAGAGAACTTTTGCCTTAAAATCAATGCTTTGTGTAGTTCGACATGTTTATTATATCAATGGAAGAACGGAGAAGAACAAACTGGTGAACAGAAAACATAATTTAACTATTTCCTGTAGGCATGGAGATTGCACCGCTTACATGCATACAGTCATATGGTCCAAGTATTTCAACATCATCACCACCTTCTTCTTGCTCAAGGTGAATTGTCCTGAATCTTTCCTGCAGCTGTCTCACATAAGCCCACCACTATTTCACACACTAGGGCGCTGACTGATTTGTTGATGTTTTAAAAATGATGTCTTCCATGAAAATGAAATCAACTAAAGACAATCAGCTGCTTGGGTCCGGGTCTCACCATCGATGTTGAGCATCATGTTCCACATGGCAGGACGGACAGACTGATGGAAACCAAACCACACCTCCCTGCCTCCGCCCAGAGGATGGTAGTAGCCTTCTGGGGGGGAGAAAAATGAACGCCCCACAGGAGTATACCTGAGTGCAAAACAAAGCAGAAGAAGAAATAGAGATTAATATAGATTCATGAATTAAACAAGAATACATTTCTTACAACCACTAGATTTAGATTCTTAGAGACTTAAATAATCAGACACTTGCACAAGAAATTAAAGTTCAAAAGGTCATGTTTTATGTTCAATACAAAAATGAATGTTTGACACACAGGGGTTTAAAATGTAACGTATGTGTCTGAAAAGGTTTGGACCAAAGTAAATAATCTATTTAATGGATGGTGTGCAATTAATCTGTTTTTTTCTCATAATGAAGTCCTACAATTCTGTTCCTCGATTCTACAACTCATTTAGCTGACGCTTTTATCCAAAAAGGGACGTACATCTGAGAGTAAGTACAACGCAAGCACGGACGTAAAGAGGATGAAACAATGTGAGTAGGTGTCAACAAACAGCTTCAAGTCCGATTAGACACACACGTGCTGACGGGCAGTGCACAGAGGCAATGCACAGGATATATACAGTATGTCCTGTTTGAAACAGTCCTAATCAAAGTCCACAGCATGTTACATTCATTCAGGGATGGACACAAACATATGAGGCTTGCATTGCCCTGAGGTTCAGCTGTAACAGCTCTATGCAACAAAAGCTGCTGTTCCTGTGTGACTCACCGAACGTCTTAATTATGTTTTGTAATACGGTTTGATCAGGAAGACGCACGACAGCAGGAAATTAAATAATACTGACAAATAAAAGCTGAAAAGCAATAACTGTCAACAGATGCAGGTGGTGTGTTTGTGAGAGGAGCGGGGGGGGGAGGGGGGGGAGTGTCTGTACCTCATGGAGGGCAGGTGCCGCGTTATGACATCCAGAGCCTGAACCGAGTCCTCGGGGACCTCGTTCAGGTGGCCTGACAGAGCCTCCAGCAGCATCTGAAGACTGACCACAGACACCCACTGCAAGGACACCTTAAACGTCTGATCTTTCCCCTCGCCGGGCAGAGTCACCTCCAGGTCCACCTAGAGAGAGAGAGAGAGAGAGAGAGAGAGAGAGAGAGAGAGAGAGAGAGAGACAGAAACAAAAGATGAGGCGAGGATAAAAGATCGAAGACCTGGAGACAGGGAGCTTATGGCAATAATCACCAAAAACCAAAGTGGACTGAAGAAGAGCAACACCGAATTAACTCTTGATGACTTCTTTGTAAAGACGACAAAAGGGTTTGGAACATTTAACCCTGAAGACGCTTTATACAGCTTAACAGATTTTTAGCACTGTTTTCTGTAATTATTTTCAAATCTTCATGTTGATAGTAAAACATCCTAATTCCCAGGGAGAACACACCAATTGCAGGCACATTTTTCCTTGTGTGTTGAAGGATAATTTAGTCATTTAATTAATTATTACTTACACAAAACTCCTGCTCATGAGGTCTGTAATGGCATGCATTCAAAAGCCAGCAGAGGCAGCCTTGGTGTACTCAGCTGTACTTCTACACCCAAATAATGAAGAACACACATTTGGCTGAACCTCCCAAAATGTCCCTGTCCTTCCTCAACACCCAAATTTGGAGATGCCCGTTTTCATCTTAGGAAATGGAGCTACTATTAACCCTAACTCGACAAGCAACGGCAGAGATCACAGGTCACAACTAGGCCGTGTTTAGTTCTCTGGTCCGTAAACTAAGACAAATAAGTGCGCTGATGAAATAAAGAACAGCACATTTGAACTCTGCTGCTCGGCTCCACCTCTGAGACACAGAACATCTGCAACAACTCCAGGTGTTTTTCACATTATAAACCTATCTCCAATAGATAGAGACAGGAAATTGGCAAACAATCCCTGAAATTCCAATAAAACTTGATCAGGCTTCTTTTTTTTAATATTCCAACATCAACACTCGTTGTCAGATCGTGTCTGTAATGCAACAGGAGGATAAAAAAACATTTAAAATTCCTGACTGCAAGATCATTTCTGCGCAGAATGCAATAAACAGAAGAAGTAAAGAAATGTGAGAGCAGTGAATTGTCTTGGGGTTAGACCTGCACAGAATTCAGTACTGGTCTCAAATTCCTCTTATAGATTTCAGAATGACACGAACACACAATGTAATCTACTAAACCATTACTTACATGTCGCCTTCCTCCTAAAACATCAACAAATCATTGGGGCTGCTTTCTTATATTCAAACCATGCCAAAAAACCTTTAGCACATTGTTTTTGTGCACGATTGATTTGTGTGCATGCTGATGAAACAGAAACACTAACCCTGTCCCTCCCGATTGGCAGTGGATGTGCTGTGTACATGTTCCTCTTCCCGTCGTAGCCAGGCTGCCGGTCTCCAAAGATCTGCATCTTGAAGTGCCGCACCATGGTGTCCACCACCTCCCTAGAAGCAAACAGAGACAACAAGATGAAGAGGCAAAAACAAAAACGCACAAAACAAAACCTCCTCTCAAAATTAATCTCCCATCCCCATGTGTGTTCTTGAGTAGATTCTTTTACCTGTTGACCCTCCGAGGCCGTTTCTCAGGCTTGATGTCGATATCATAGTGATAGACATCAATCTTGGGAATCTGCACCTGGAAGTGGTTGGCAAGGAGCCGGATGGGTTTCCCCACCGTGCCAAGGCCGGGACGCCGTGGAGGCTGAAACAGAGAGGTTGGTGCGGGCGGGCCTGCAGAGAGAGAGAGAGAGAAGTGAATATACTGAAATATGCTTTGACAGTTACTAGGAGTTTAAAATAAAAGGTTTAATTCACACATGCACTTCTGGAACTTTCTAGAAGTAGCCTGACCCTGTCTTCAAATCTTCCAGAGTTTCTCTTTGATACAAGTCCCTGACATCAGGAGACTTTTCCTCTCAGAGAAAGTGTACGTGTATAGGAGGGTGTCATGGGGAGGCAAGCCATAAAAAGAAAGCAGAAGTTGCTGACGAGGCAGCAGAGGTCTAATGCCAGGATGACTGTTTCTGCCTCAATATCAATGCTACGGGAAATCGGACGTAGTCACAGAATCAACAAACGAGTGGAAAAGAACACACCGAGTATGAAGCGGTTTCATTACGATGACACTGGGCACTTGGTATAAATGTCACCAACCAACTCCCACCGCTTTGCAGTGAATTTTTCTTTCACTTTCAAATTCACTTCTTGTGGAACTATAACTAAAGGGCATGGCTGGACTAAGCCAGAAAAAAAGTTGGGGCAAAAATCTGGCCATGCATGTGTGGAAAAAGCTAAATAAAGTATTTAACGGTTATTGTTTTAAGATATATTTTGGGGTTTTTGTGCCATTTTTTTTTTGGGACAGGACAGTGGATAGAGTTTGAAATTGGGGTAAGAGAGAGCGGGGGAATAGCATGCGGGAAAGGACTCGAACCCAGGCCGCCCTCTTCAAGGACTACAGCCTCTGGGTGCGCAAACTAACCATGCAGCAACCGGCGCCCCTTTCGATTCTTTAAACGAGTTCTACAAAGAGATTTTGTGAATTCTCCCACAGTACAAACCCAAATCGATTCAGGGGGTGAGGGACTGAGACACGAGGATGATGATCATGAAATCATCACGTCGATCCAGATCAATGAAGTTACACACACGCCTATCACTCAGTTTTTACATGTTTTTGTGATGTACCAGTTCATACATATTTTTTTTTTTACTGAAATTGTTTCATATCATCATTTCAAGTTCATTTAAATATTTATTAATTTCCTCCTTCCAGAGATTACTGAGTTTCCCTTAATGCTGTTACCCTCCATTAAATACTTCAGCTCTAATCTAAGCATGCTTGGCATTTCCCTCAATGGGAACAAAGGTTGGGACAGAGCGCATGTGTCCTCATCCTTGCATTCAATGTCAAATGTAAAGATGAACGTCCGCGACGCAACGCCAAGCTTGTTCCAAACCGTCTCATCAGTGACAACCTGCTTGAATGCACTGAAATGGCCTCGCGTACCCACAAACACAATTCGATTGATCCGTAACTCTGCCCCCTGACCTCCATGGGTCAACAAGGGGCTGGCAAAACAATGACCCCCCAATTATCCATCGGCCCGCCCCCAGCTCCACCCAGACGCACAAGGGCGCCCACCCCTCACGCTGAGACAAAGAGCGAGCTCCTCTCAGACAGACAGCAGCAGGGCCATGTGGGGGGGTGGGGGGAGCCACACACAGTCTGGGATTACCGTTACAAGCATGCACCACATGCACACTTTTATACGGTGTGTGCACGTTCATGAGCGCAGGTACCTTTCAAACATGGAGGACAGGACACACCTTGATGCTCAAGTGATCAGTGAAAAAAAAAGCACATATACCATACATGCTGACAACTGCAGGCTTAATCCTGCAGCAGGTGAACACATTACTCACTATCTCACTAAATTAAAATTGGAGGACAAAGGCGGTTTGATGCCTGCTTCATCTCCCCTGCTCGATCTGTCGTCTTGAGCTGCTATAAATAATTCTATATGCGAGAACATCATCGGAGGAAAAAGATGCAGTCAATCTTTTCTTATATCTTCTGGGAAAGAAGACAAAGCATGCACAAAAGACTGAGAGCATAAATAATAAAAAAAAAGAAGGCAGAATGTACACAGAAAGTTAAAATAATATTGTGTTGGTTGTATCGAAGGAGGCTTGGAGGAGGGTGCTCGCTGCTTTTGTCAACTGACAGCTAGGGGACTGCGGGGGTCCTCCTGAACTCCATGCACCCACACACGCTCCAGTTAGCAAGTGAAGCGCGAGAGCACGGACAATTAGGAACCTCCCCATCGCTTCCTAACATGCCCTCATCTACCCTGGGCCCCAAATCGTCTCCCCATCTCCCCCTTCTCCCCACTACTCCTTCTTCTTGTCGTCCTCCATGGCCATGCACACAGCTTGAGAACAACCATCCATGTTCTCCACATCAGTATGATCATGTTAAAGCTCTCATTCCAAGCCATGTGTGATTGTCTCCGTCACGACTTGTACTAAAAATCATCAGATGATTCATTCCACTTTGTCCTACTGGCCCCGTTACCGATGGCAACAACAAGCGTACAAAGTATTCTGAGCCTGGCTGAAAGATGAACATTGTGTGTAACACAAGCAAAAGTTAAGCATTTCAAGTGCACAAGTTATTCAGATGTGTGCGTTTAATGCTGATGATGTGTATTAGACGCTTCAAAAGCACATGTTTGTCTTCTACATGCTCAGGGACGGACATGATATTTAAAACTCAACATTACACCAGCAAAGTATGATCTAAAAATCGACATACAGCGCAGTGTAAACCTTGTGTGCCTGATCACATCAACGTAAAAAGGGATCAAATACATGCTGCAAAGCTTTATACAGGTTATCTTCAGGGTTCATCGAGTTAATTTTAAAACTTCTACAAACCGGTTTGATACTTGTTTCACGGCAAAGAAACCCGTGAAGAGCGTCAACTGTTTGTTTATCTTTAATGATTCAGACTTCAGTCTCAGCCTGATGTCAAAACAGAACCAGTGAGCTCAGTAGTGCGGATGGATTCAAAAGGTATGGACACATTTGGTTTATATTTTTAAAAAAAAAGTGTGAAAAAATATTTGAAACAGACTTTATCCGGAATATATCTGTTTAGAAAAAATGGAAAAATAAAACTCAATGGAGACGCAGATGCTAGAGAACATTTGGCAAACAATTACTTAAACAAAAAATGTAAATTATCTGAACTTATTATTACATTTATCGCAGCAGTTTGAGATCACTCTTGTAAGTATGCTGGAAGGGGTCAGCGGGGACTTTTAAGGCATTGAATTATTTATCAAGCAGCCCTCAATCAATATCAAAATAATTTAATAACTCCCATCACTGCCCACAACGGGCGAGAGAAAAGACTTAAGACTTTTATTAAATCCCAAGGCTTGTTTGAAGGATCTAAATTCAATGTCTTTAAGACGTTGCATCCCTGCAGATACCGCAGTGGACTGGTTTGTCTGACTGTGTACACGGGTTTCTATTTTTTTTCTTTTTCCTCCTTCCTCTGCTCGCTGCAAGCACCGGCAGGTACAACAGAAACCGTTTCACTCGATGTGTGAGAGGCACAGCAAGTGCGAGCTCTTCCTCTTCCACTTTGACCAAAAACAGAGCTGCAACTATATTTAGGCTCCTCAGCTGCTACACTACTACACTTAGAAATGTGAGGGTCTCATCGTGAAAGGCCTCAACCCGCCGTCTGCCAATCGAAGTTAACACCACCGACAACCACAAGCTGCACAGTCTTTAAATGATCAGAGTCTGGCTGCAACTAACGATTAGTTTTCCATTTATGTGACCACTTTCTGGATTGGTGGATTCATTAGTTAGTGTGTGATGTCAAAGTTGACGTCTTAAATCAGATATTTCTTGCCTAACAGCCGAAGGATGATATTGTTTACAACCAAATAAGACAAAAGAAATGAACCGACGAGCCGGAGTGAGGAAGCGCGAGTCTAAAATGATTATTTTATAAGGAAAGCGGACGCAGTTTAACATTCTGCCGATGAACTTTTGGAAAAAACAGACCATTTGTTTCAGCCCTGAATGAGTTTCTAACTTGTAATATCCAATTAGACTGGGTTCATGTTTTTCTTTCTCCATTAAGCAATCGTCTCAGATTGGTTTTAATGTGCAACCAAACACAAAAATGACTGAAATGACTGATGATTAGGTCTCTAATTGTTAGCATCACAAGTGAAAGTCTGCCAAGCCACCAGCAAATGGTGACTTCTTCAATCGTCTAATTATCGAACTTGTCAGTATTTTTGTGAGAAAGAACGATTATTTTTGGACCGACGGCAAATCAAGAGACGAGAGCTCAAGAAGCGATTAACAAATAAAAATGGTCATGCTGTGAAAAAAAATAAGCAACGAGAGTTATATGTGTTGTAATTTGGGGGTAAATCAAGGTTTAGTTCTGCCACTATGACGAGAGAAACTTGGCCTCCATTACTTTTACTGATGACCTGACCTGGACTAGACCAGCCATGGAGCACAGAGGAGCAACAGCAATCAAATATGATTAAAATCAACCGTTTCCAATGCAAGGGAAAAGCTCCACACAACCCTCAAGACGGCGTAACATCACAAAAAACTAATTAAAAAAAAACAGCTTACAATATGTCAAGCTACAAGACACCGTCGCTTAATGGCTTTTATCATTTTTTGATATATCAAACCCCGTCTGGCAGCACTGTCATGCATTATTGAGGAATACAGAATTCACAAACCGAGGATTCCTCTTTATTCTGTTTCACAGACAAACTCATTAATAAAACATTTCAATTAGAGCTATAAATCACATGAAATAGACCCTCCAGACTCGTCAAACGTTGCATTTATTTTAGACTTTAATTTAAACAACCTGTCGAGCAAGCTTCCTCCACGGGTTTTTAATGCTTCTGCTCCAAGTGACACAGAGCCGCGTCTACTTTGAGTCACAGAGGAAGTGAAATTAGCTTCTTTTTTTTTTTTTCCTGGCACAGAAAATGACAAGACGCACTGGAGGCCAAGTGGAGTGTTCCAGCTCCTCGTGTAGTCCTGGTGAGTTTGTCTGTTTGGACAACCCGCACGCTTATTAAGCAACACAGCAAAGTACAAATAACGTCAGCAGTGTGTGCGCTTCAAACTGAGCTGAATTTACTCTGTTTACTCACAGCTTTGAAGCACAGGGGGCACGTGTAGCTTTCTCACATTTGCAAGGAAGTGTATGCCACTCGTGCACTGTAGGTTAGTAAGGCCATGCGTGTCCCATGGTTACCACAGGCAGAGAGACAGCCGGGCTTAAGCTAAGCATGAGGATGAGAAGGCTTGGCCGATTGATGAGTCAGAGGCAAGCAGCGCTGAGCAGGGAGCGCGCAGACGCCCACACCTGCAAATCACCTGGATTAAAGGTAAACTACGCTGGACTACTGTGGGAATGGCTGACGCACTGCTCAGAAAGACGACGTCTTCCTTTCAGCGCAAGGGGAGAACAATTCTTAAACATTTCCTCAGGAGCCACTGATTTCAGCTTTTAACCTGTCTGCTAGGGTTTAGCAATTTGCATTCACTCACACCGCTGCAGTCAATGTTTGGCAGCACCACGCAGACGGATGCATTACCCCAAACTGGCAGTACAGCTGTTTGTTTAAATCACACACACACACTGAATCTGTGCGTTTATAAGTCATACAGAGGTTTACATCAAACACTCAAATTTAACCAGGACATTGAATTCTTTCTTTTTATTTTTCCATGCATGTTTTTAACCCTTTTATCCCTCCACCTCTCGATATGAATAATCACAAAGTTGAGTCACATATTTCAGGGCAACGATGACTAACACATGTATCGAGTATGTTGTGAAATATCAAATTAACTGGAAAGTGTTGACACTGTGAGTTATTTTTAAAGGATACAATCCTCAAACCAGAGGACTTAAAATATTGTTTTGTTTTTTAACTCTTGTAGGGCAGCAAACTGAATTTGATTTCGAGGATGTCAGCTTGGACTTTAGGACAAATTGGATGACAAATTGATTGACCAAAACAAGAAGAAAAAAGGATAAACAGAGCGCTCTAAAATCAAATGAGTTGCAGTTGTAGTTGTGTGGCTCAAAAACAGATATTTGTGCCTTCTCTGTGTTAATCAAGGCATTAGTGCCGACTGCTTTGACAAAACTTCAACGGCTGCATCGTACACCCGTTAGGAAAGGATAAACCGGATGCATGAGGACACCACAGGTCTACAACCTCTGGGAGTGAAGTGCAACTACACTGAGGTAAAAGCAAAAAAATGCAAATTTAGGAAGAAATCACCTACAGCTGGTTCAGAGGCGGTTGATGAATGCAATCCGAACACTCTGCCCTCAAGAGGAATGTTACGTCCTATCTATATTGGCAGTTTGTTATCAGCTTTAAAAAAAATACAGCAATACAGTGTGGTTGTTGTTGCATCACTTTTATGCTTTCAGAGTGGAACTGAAAACAACTGTTGAATATATTTCAGAAAGTTGCAGTGTAAGTCGGTACGAGGGTTAAAGGGTCTGATGTTGGCGCTCAACATGAATTTGACTGTTCGGCTGTTTAACATGTCTGCATTAAAAAGGCAAACGTGCATCCACACACTCCACTTTGCAACGTTAACATGCTACTCCATCCTGCACACAGCACCGTCTTCTACAATCATTTAACGGCTTGCACTGATTAGTGTGATCATGGAGGCTCACACACACACACACACACACACTGTGGATGGTCTCCAAAACATTCCCCAGGACCCTCACATAGCACCATGCATCTGTTTTAACACACATCCAGAGCTGCTGCTGCTGCTGCTGCTGCTGAGTGTGTTCCCTCCTTAAATAATGCATCCACCACCTTTTGTCTCAACTAAAGCATGTGGGCAAATCTGGAGATTTTCTCTGCAAGCTGATATCAATCACTCATGCCCTTTTTAAAAACGCATTCCGAAATAAAAATTAAAAACTGTTTGAGTCATGGGGGGGGGGGGGTGAGAAAATGGAGTTAAACACACATTTTCCATGTTGTGACGATACAGATGCATTGCACTGGTGGGTGTATAGGTGTGTGGCTGATGTTTCCCACCCCCAACCCCCATCAAATCGCTGCATCGCTGCAAAGTAAGTGCCTTTGTTATCATATAGCAGATGAATTGTATGGAGCTGGCCCTTGCAGATGTGATCGATACCAGCGCCACCGCTGTGCTCCCGGAGAGGCATTAAAACCCAGCCACGAAAATACGCACCAGCAGCCAGTAAACATGTGTTTTTAACTGGCGTTTTATTTATGTTTTTTTTTTTTTTCCCCCTATCCATCGCTGTCATCTTGGAGGAGGGCAGCCCCCCGAAGAGACGCACTGTTCCCGATGGCGATGGTACAAACGTACATGGTTTAAAGCAGCGACAACAAGGAATCGACACACAGGTGGGGATCGTTTCAGCAAATTTCGACCGGATTGTTTTTGGCGTAATGTTGCAGATTGTAGTCGAGGTAATGTGGTGAAAGAAGTGGAGAGAAAAACACACATGAACGTAAACACACCACGACGCGGAAGGAAGGAGGAAGGAAAGGTCCTAGTTAAATCCCCACACACACACACACACACTCACACGCACACACACACACAATGCCAGCCCCGACACGACGAGCTTCGCGTAAATAAAACCGCGCAGACATTTCTGGAGACCCGATAAAACCCACAAAAACAAAAACAAGAACCGAGTCTCCCGCTCGATGTGAACACATAAACGTAAAAAAAAGCGTACACACACACACACACACACGGGCTGGGCCTCGGGTTTGTTTTCCCGTCAGCTCGCCGAGGCCTCGCTGCAGCCGCGGCCCCCAGTGAAGCGACGCATTTGCGCACACTCGCCCCGCACACGGCTCCCCTGTTCCCTTGTGTTACTCACCGGGTCCGAGCGCTTCCATGGCCGAGGCCTCTCTCTCCGTCTCTGTCCCGGCCTGGCGGCTCCGTACCGAGGCTGAAATTGGGGGCGGTATCGCGAAGCTGAAAAGTGGCTAATTTAAGAAAAGGGGAATATAGATAGGTGCGTGGATGACTGCTGACTGTACTGACTGACCTGAGCCTCCACTGCTGCTTGCTGGTTCTGGGGATTTGTAAGTGCGCATGCGCCAGTTAGAAGCTGTGGACACCGTTGTGCGCATGCGTAATTTTTTTTTTTCCTGAACCGCACTTAGTTTAGTTTAGTTTAGTTTAGTTTAGTTTATAATATAATTACTTTATTGATCCCAAACTGGAAATCCAAACACACAATATGAGTAAAAAAAACACAATATTAGTAAATATAAAACACAATATAATATTAAATACAAAGTAAATAAGTTCTAAAAATATAAAAACTAAGAATGTGAATATATACAACCAGGATTTAACTAAGCATTACTAGATTAAATATGGAAGATTGAATGTAAATGTGCAAAAACAGAGTTGTAAATGGACAGTATTGACATAAGTTAAAGTGCATGAGCGTAGACATATAATAAGCAGAAACTATTCACTATAATGGTGAGTAGACAGACAAATGAAGTGAACATGAGTGCACTTCATTTGGTTTTAGTTTATTTGCAATTTTTTTGAAAGAAGAATCAAACAAAATTATAAAAAATAAAAAATAAAACACATGAGCAGGTGAGGTAGAAACCCCATGAGGGCTTATCTCTAAACCTCACTTAAGAGATTACACAAAGTTCAAATAAAATACAGTGAAAATAACAAATTAGAATATTTACTATCACAAATAAAATTTACCCAATTTAAAGATTACATACAAACATTGAAAACATAAAAATAGAGCAAAACAGGACATACAGTATGTAGACAATATAACAAAATCAGGACAATTCACTATTCACTACAAATCTCTCTGACATCAACGCCTTTCTGAGTCTCAATTTCTATTTAGAAAAAGACAAAAAATCATCAAGTAAATAAATAATTTGACTCCACGGTATCTTATTGAGTCCTGTCCTTGACTACTGTCCACTTACAGATCAAACTTTAATGATAAGTCAGTATAGAACCAAACATGCTGGCAATGAAAATACATTTTAATACAATGTAAGGAAATATCAAAAGGTTGTAATGCAAATACAAACAAGTATGAAGTAATACGTGTTCTACATAAGCAGTGGAAAGTAAAGTGTCAGCAGTGTGCACACATGTTCTGTTCTCCTTTCAAGTTTATTTTGATGCAATGTCATAGATTTAGGTGCTTTAGGGATATATGTAGCCTACCTTTAAGAGCTCCAACAAGATGCTAACACACTGGGAAAACTCTGTCTTTGTGTGTTAAATCATTGTCTTTATTATGGCTTATCAAGAAGAAGAAAACAGGTCAACATAAACTGAGAATTGTTGCAAGAGGAAAGAAAAGAAGCTTGCCTGAGGAATGCACATTTCATTCCTATGAGAAATTGTTATGTAGAACTGTTGTAAAAAACACGTTTATCATATGAAGTTTTTTTGAAAGACTTTGTATTTCTAGAAAATGTTATCTATCAAATCATCACCAACTGCTTTCTAAAATCCTCATCTGATTATTTTTATTAAACAAAGTTATATAAACAAATATAATTACACTATACTTTGCTGACCTATAGGATATAAAAGTGCCCGATTATTTATCATTCAGTTAAGAAAAAGTAATTAATTGTATTTTCTCACGTTCACATTGTGCACAGTAAGTTATGTGACAAAATGTTTTAATTACAACTCATGATATAGCCTATTAGTCTTGAATTTCAAAGTAGGACTAGTTAGTAAAACACTGGTGGTTTTTGTTGCAGATTAACTTTTAATAATTATCATGGACCTGCTGAATAATGATTTTATTGTACTTAAATTAAATGTGAATTTGTTCAGGTAATTTGCTTGTCATTAACAAACAGCATTAAGAACTGTTTCAGGAGTTCTTGGGGAGATAATTGCACTAGTGCTGAACATTAAACATGTTGTGGAATAGAATAGAATAATATAATAGAATTACTTTATTGATCCCAAACTGGGAAATTGTGGCGTTACAGCAGCAGGTTATCCAAACACAAAATATGAGCAAAAAACACAATATTAGCAAAATTAAACATAATATAATATTAAATACAAAGTAAATAAGCACTAAAAATATTAAAACAAAGAATGAGAATATATACAACCAGGATTTAACTAATTTGTTATTTCATTAGATGGTTCATCATTATAAAAAATTAAAATCTTTCTTTCTTTCTTTCTTTCTTTCTTTCTACAAAGCTTTAACTCAACCCTCGTCTACACACAAGTCCTCAAACCCGCCCGCCCGAAAATTCCTGGTATTTAAAATCAGTTCCCACTAAGATGTGACGTCAGAGTGGGCGGATCCAAAACTGGGCCAAATGGACCAATGGGAAAGCGAGAACGGTGCGATTGACACCCGGTGACGAAAAACTTGCAGGCCAGCTGTCACGACGCGCGAAAGATCAAAATTTCTGTTCGGTGTGTGGGGAACAGGCGGGAGGAAGAGGAGCTGCCCGGCTAAACACCTCCTAAATGTGCTTTAAACATCAGAAAATAGGCTTTGTCGCGCAGACATTCACATTTTGACATCTTTTTTTTTGTTGTCTCCGCTGGATTATTTCACTAAAGAGCTTCAAGCAGCAGCCGGACAAAGATGAGCTTGGTACTTTCTCAACAGCAGGTGAGGAAAAGTTTTGCTAGTTTGTACAAAATACGTGAAAGTTTCAGACTTACACACATGCCTCTGCTTGTTACGAGTTATTTGGATAGATTAGCATTAACTAAATGACGCTAGATACTTTTAATTTGCTGTTATAGGTGACGTTAGCCTTAGCCCGGAAGCTAACTCACAGGGTTATGCGCAACCAGCTGGGATAAGGGTTCTGGTTTTAGGCCTGGTCCCATCGATTAGACGTGTTTGAACTAATCGTATCTTAAAGCAAACCATAAGATCCAAGTGGTTACTCATACTAGTCATGTACCAGTACACACTCATTGGTTTTGTCATGTTTTTTAAACTGGTTACCAAAGTTTAAAGTACGTAAAGACGCCGGCTCATTGTTTGGTTTACTGCGAGGCGCCATTGATGCAACTCAACAACCGTCTGGGTCCCTTAACTTAGAATAAAACACTTCCCTGCTTCATATCAATGTTACAAATATATATTATTTTCACTCTGTGTTTCTATTTTTATTGAAAATTTCACATTTTAGGTTTAATTATAGTATTATTAAAGTAACTGGACTTAATGGGATACATACCTGTCTGATTTCTGAAATTAAAATTAATATAAAACAACTAAAATAATACCATCCAACATGAGTGATCTCATAAAAAGTGGAGGAAAACTCAAGACCAAAAAACATAGGTATGAATAATCCAGGATGGTTAGAAAAATATGAAATTGAATTGATTGAGCTAGAAACATTAAAATACACCAATACTTCTTCTTGAGGGTGCAGTGACACACTGAGAGATCTCATGTTTAGTGTTATAAAATATATATATATATATATATAAGTTCAAAGATAAGATATTACCAAGGGGAAGTGTGGGTGTTGCAGCAACACAAAGATAAGAAAGTAGGTAGTACAAAATAATAATTAAAACAGATAAGATAAATTAAAGGAGTAGAGTGAACTATGCAGGACAATGAAGACTTATACTGTGCAGTAAAAGGCAAGTGATGATTTAAAGTGTCATGGTATGATTAATAGAGTTGCTGCAACAGCCTGCCGACTTTCAGCGCCTGGAACTAAGAAATATTAACCTTGAAGGAAATGTTAATATTTTACAATACACTGACTTCCTAGAACACAGACTGCAGAGCTCTTACACTGTAGAAAAAACAATCCATATTGATGGTTACATTTCATTTTGTCTTGTTGCACACAGGCAGAGGGGATCCCAGCGGTGGCCCAAACGGCAGCAGAGAGTGATTCAGACAGCGGGATGGGCTCTCCAGAGGAGGAGATGGTCGCAGATACAACCAACAAAAGAGAAGAAGTTAAAGGTGAAGTATCAGCCTCACACAGAGCAGAGACACTTTAGTGTGCAAATGAGGAATCCATTTGTTAATGTCTGTGAAATAAGAGGAACTTGTTACATTTACATTATACTCTTACAGGGAACCTGGCCAGTCTTGAAAAATCCTCAACTACTATGAAATGATTCTGGTGACCATTCTGCCTTTTCACTGTTCTTCAATCTACTGTTTGTTTGTTTTTTCCAGATTCTGATGACGATGAAGACATCACAGTTCACCGAAAGCCTCATCGTAACGCCATCAGAGACAGTGACAGTGAGGAAGAGGAGGCCTCCGCGGAGAACAGTGTGCACATGACCGAAGCGCTGGTTTTATCTGCCTCTAGCGGAGACGAGATGGAGACCGGGGAGGCACAAGAGAAGAACGAGAGGAAGCAGAAGACCAAGAGAATCAGCCGTGCTCCCGTTGACAGCGAAGATAGTGAACCAGAGCAAGCGAAATGTGGTGAAGTGGAGGAGAAACAGGAGGAAGTAAAATTGAAGAAGAGAGAGAAGAGTCAGAGGCATCGGGAGAAAAAGGAGAAACGAAGCAAAGCAGTGGAAAAAGTGAAGAAGAAGAAACGACTCTCCGAGATGAGTGAGGTTTGTGCAGTTTCATTCTTATGCTGCTGAGTCTTCATACATTGATTTGTATATGAAGCTTTCTGCTCTAGTCTTGTCTTTTTAAATGTACCAAGGAAAAAAAACATACACATACCTTAAGAAGTGTTTTGTATGACCGAAATTTTGCACTTACAGCCATAAGGAGTAATCTTTTTGGGGCGCTGATAGCCTAGCAAATAGGTCACGCTGCTACCTAAAAAAAAAATCAAAACAAAGACAAAAGCCCCAAAATATTTAAAGACGTAATCGTTATGTAAATGATGATGCAGAAATGTGTGTTAAAAAATTGCACTGGATTCCAGAGTCATTCATTTCTGGTATAAATCCCCCTCAATGACCTCTTTCTGCAGGTTGAATATTGCAGAAACAGGGGCCTGGGATGGCCGTAGATTAAAGGATGAAAATGTACTATAATTAAGAGAATCTTCTTCCCTCTGTGGCAGGAAAC